TTCATTGGGTCTTGGATACATCTATAAATAATAAACTATTAAAAGGAAATTCTCTCGATCCAAGACTGATTAAACGAGTTAACATGCTCATGAGAGTTATGAGTAAATTTGACCGTTACAACCTATGGAGAATCTTGCAAGCCTTTGACAGGGAATATACACATCTATCATGGGCACATTTATCCTACTCAAGGATCGACATGTTTTGGGGGAACTCCGGTATGATCAATAAAATGCATAAATGCTGGACTACATATAATACTTGGTAAGATCATAGCATAATTTTAATAGAGCTGGTTGACAAATATGAGAAGAAGGGTAGAACAACATGGAGATTAAATGACTATCTACTAAATGAGAAATAAAATGTTGAAGTTATTTCAGATACAGTTAAGTGTTTTTTTGAAGAAAACGACCTAGCAAATACATCTCCAACTTAAGTACCTTTAAGTCGATAATCAGGGGCTATTTTATTAAAATGAATGTTACTTTAATAATGCAGAGAAGCTTGATATTATCAGCATTGTATATCTGTTTCTATAAGATTTCTAGCTGAAATAAAATGAAACCTACACAAGAAAAATGTGCAGAATTATTATCAGTTAAGGAAAAGATTAATGTAAAACGGAGACAGACAAAATGCAAATAATATGGTTAAATTAAAGTCAAAACTTTACAATAAAGGGAACAGAGTGGACAGAATAATGATAAACAAAATCAGAAGCAATAAAACCAACAATCACATTGTTGTTAATAATAAAAATAGAAGAAAGGAAAACGGAAGCTTAGGGAAGCACTCAAATACGTGGGGGTAACCCACAATAAACTACCAGAGTAGTAACAAAAAAGGGGAGGACAGGCTGAGTGCCCCGGATACATATAAAAGTTAACTTTTAATAATGCAAAGATAAAAAGAGAGTAAATGTAATCGAAAAAGAAAGTAGAAAGGAGTGCTCTGTGACCCAGTGGTGGGTAGTACTAAATATGTGTTACTGCCAGATGGTCCAGAGATTCAGTTGGCTGAACGTGCAATGTATCTCCAAATCTACACAGAAACACATAGCGAAAAAGGCATTATGCTTCTCCCCTTCTCCCCTCCCCCCCCTTGCAATATTATACTGTCCACTAAGGACAGTGGGGATAATGATAATGATTGTATATGGCATATATATCACCACTGAAGCAACTCTTTAATTCCAACTGGGTGCAAATCTTTACCAATGCCAGCACGAATTAATCTATCTCCCGGCCCCTCTCTGGAAACTAACTTTTTCTCCCGTGCAGAACGCAGTTTTGACAGCATCAGCTCTATCCACTTCTTCCTTAGGATCACTCACGAGTGAACTTTTATTCCACATTCATTAACATTATAATATTCTGTACATGCTGATCGGCTATGGTTTATGCCGACCTACATGTCTAATGTGGGTATCTTCACCCTAAAGGGTTAACTATGGCTGTTTCTCTATTGGCCATACTCACCTTCGAATGAACATGATAGGCTCATCGAAACCAGTGGTCTTTTTTGAACCCTCCAATCAGCTCTATTCTTCACCTGTAAATAAGCTGACACTCACCACACATCGGCTCCCCTCTGATGAGGTGTGGCGAAACGCGCGCGTCAGGGGACTCGGAGGATTCACTGCTATAGCACAGAGTGCGGCATTGTGATCATTTGCACCGCACTCTCCACATGAATCCCGAGCGTTTTTTCTGTTTCTACCTCAGCAGTTACCTTTTTTCCTCTCCTTCCCAAGGGGTTTATCTAACGAAATATGGCTTTCACCGTTTATGGTATCAGATACCTATGATCGGATACTAGCAGCCATACCTACCCTGGGGTATCTGAGGGTTCTAGGAACAGATTTTCACGTTTATTTATTCTAACTCATTTATCTGTGGGGCACTAGTGATATTTGTATCACCGTTTTGTTAACTAGCTAATTACCCAATAGCTGGTTACACTGTGCCCTAAGGAGTACACATCAAAACTCATGTATCTGTGGGGCACCAGCGATATCTGTATCACCGTTTTGTTAACTAGTTAATTACCCAATAGCTGGTCACACTGTGCCTTAAGGAGTACACATCAACAGCTATTTATACTGTGTCTACAATTGCAACTGTGTTTTGTTGCAATAGACATCACAGAGGCAGCCTGAAAACTTCAGAACAGGCCCTCTGTATACTATGTTCTTATGAATTTGGTTGTATATATTTACATTTATTTTTTTACCATTATATTTTTTTTTTTTTTTACATGTCACTAAGATGTTGACATGTTCTCAATAGCAGCTGATTTTTTACCTACTGCTTTTTCGCTATGTGTTTCTGTGTAGATTTGGAGATACATTGCACGTTCAGCCAACTGAATCTCTGGACCATCTGGCAGTAACACATATTTAGTACTACCCACCACTGGGTCACAGAGCACTCCTTTCTACTTTCTTTTTCGATTACATTTACTCTCTTTTTATCTTTGCATTATTAAAAGTTAACTTTAATAATAAAAATATGCTTACACCAGAAAGTTTAGGTCAAGAGTTTGAGTCTTGTAGTAACCTATATAATTTACAATTTATAATTATAATTCAGAACTTAGAGAACTATAAAAAACCAGACCCCGGTGGCTTTTGTAGTACTTTCTAGAGAATATTTGGAATGCAGTTTTCCACCCATCTTGTTGCGGCATATAATGATGCGGTTCAGAAAGGTGCATTGATCGCTTTTTAAAACCAATTTTCACATAAAATTGGAGAACTATACCTACAGTTGCAAGAAAAAGTATGTGAACCCTTTGGAATGATATGGATTTCTGCACAAATTGGTCATAAAATGTGATCTGATCAAGTCACAACAATAGACAATCACAGTCTGCTTAAACTAATAACACACAAAGAATGAAATGTTGCCATGTTTTTATTGAACACACCATGTAAACATTCACAGTACAGGTGGAAAAAGTATGAGAAACATTTTTCAAGTACATCAATTCTAAAAAAAAATTAAAAATGAAAGTGTAGGTACACTGGAAACAGAGATGGGTCTGTTAGTTAATGAAGACCAGGAAAAGGCAGAAATTTTAAATAACAATTTTTCTTCGGTATTTATTAATGAGGATCCCATGGGCAAGAGATATGCAAATGATTGCTGCAAAAGATTTGCAGACAACTTGTGATTGGATGACTCGAGACAATGTGCTACAGTAGTTAAAGAAAATGAATGTAACTAAAGCTCCAGGGCCTGACGGTATTCACCCACGAGTACGTAAGGAGCTAAGTGGGGAAATAAGTGAACCTCTGTATTTAATCTTTCAAGATTCTTATTAGGCAAAATTGTCAAATTAGGCCACAATATGCAATGTCAATCTGCAGTTGCTAAGGCCAGTAAGGTTTTGTCATGTATAAATAGGGGTGTAAATTCTAGGGATGAAAATACAATTTTGCCTCTTTATAAATCACTGGTAACACCACACCTTGAATATGCTATGTAGTTTTGGGCACCTGTTCTAAAGAAGAATATCATGGCACTAGAAAAAGTGCAGAGACGAGCTACAAAATTGATAAAAGGAATGGAGCACTTTAGTTACGAAGAAAGGTTAAAAAATTGAAATCTCTTTAGTTTGGAAAAATGGCATCTCACAGGGAATATGATAACATTATTCAAATATATTCGGGGCCAGTACAAACCATTATCTGAAAATCTATTCATAAACAAGGCTATACATAGGACACGAGGTCACACATTAAGAATTGAAGAAAGGAGATTTAATCTAAGGCAAAGGAAGGTTTTTTTTTTTACAGTAAGAGCTATAAGGATATGGAATTATCTGCCTGAAGAGGTGGTTTTTTTGAGAGTCCATGCTGATGTTTAAACAGCAATTGGATAAATACTTTCAAAAACATAACATCCTATTAATTCTCTTTTCAAATTGTATTCCGGAATGGCAAGACTTGTTGAAAGACACGAATTCGCTAATTCTAAAAGCTCCAAACAAATGGCTAAAACAAAAGTAGTGGTAAATAGTTGAATATTGAAAGAATCATTATAAATGGAGCTCAAATTCTTAACCAAATCACCTAATAGTTTAAATGAAATAGAGATTTTTTTTAACCCAAGCCCCTTTCAACATTTGCTGGATAATAAATTCTTTAAAGATAGATTTCTTCCCCAAAACGTTAAAGAAAATGGAGATGCCTAATAACGACCTATTTAGTGAAAACTTAGAAGCGCCAGACTGAATTTTGTTAATCACAAACTGAATTGAATCCTGTATGTTGGAATCAGTAGCTTCCTTATTGAGATTAACCATGAACTGATGCCACTCCTCCCATGCAACCAAATGTGCTTTCCACTTGATTGATGATAATGAAAGACTCAACAATCCGCTTATCTGTGCAAAGTTAATTCCCAGATGTATTCGAGCAACTTGGTTCCAACATTGTCCGCTAGAGGTGCAAGGGATCTGAAAGACTGTAGGTCAAAACGGGACTAAGAATCAGCTATACAGTTACTTTTGCCACTTATATATTCTGCTCTTACCTATGTATTATTTACCAAGCAGATTAAGACTAACGTTCTCAATAAATTAATCACAGGAATCATTTTTGCTTCGAAGAGAATTAATTACTCAAAGATGTTGCAATGAAAAGTAATTCTTTTATTTGCCGATTCAGAGCCCCGTACTTCCAAGGCTACTACTATCGGAAAGAGTTCCAAAAGTGTAATCATCTTGGTCCATCCATTGTTAACCCATTTTTGAGACCATCCCGCGGCTGTCCATTTCTCTTGAAAGTAAATGCCAAAGCCTTGTGAACCAGCTGCATCAGTGAAAATATCTAAATCCCAATTGGATACAAAATCACTTTGCCAAATAGTGGAACCATTACAAATCACCCAGAAAGACATTCCAAACTAGTAAATATTCTTTGATCTGCTTAGATATTAGCACATGGTGATGTGGGTTTTTAAAACCAGCTAATGCTCTAGATCAGGGGTCCTCAAACTGTGGCCCTCCAGATGTTGCTGAACTACAACTCCCATGATTATCTATGTATCTATGTCATTGAAAGAACCATGGGAGTTGTAGTTCAGCAACATCTGGAGGGCCACAGTTTGAGGATCCCTACTCTAGATATATGTCTTGAAAACGCTTTGGCCATCAGCATTACCCTTGATGCAAAATTCAGAGAAACTAACATAGACTGTAGCTTTTTAACTGTCGTTTTGTTAACGCCTAATAATTGGGAGATTTCTCGCTTCATTTTAACTATTTTTTCTTCATGTAAACAAAATTCCATTCTTTCTGAATCAATAATTATGCCTAAAAATTGTAAACAGGTCCTAGGCCAGACCGTTTATTTCCCCCGCCAAGTGAATGCCAAATTGTGGAGCAATAGCCATGAAAAATTTCAACAACTTAAGGAAATCAGTGGATCCAGCTTTACCGATGAAAAGAAAATAATAAGTAGTGAATCGTTCATTGTAATCCTGAAACCCGTTTCGGCACCCATTCTAAAAACCACAAAAAACATTCAAAGTAAAAACAAGAAGCGGAACAGCCAGGGCCGGATTAACATAGGGGCTGATGGAGCTGCATTCCATATTCCATGGAATAGGCCCATTTAAAAAAAAAAAAAAAAATGTAATTGGAATTTCTTTTTTTTTACACACACTACTCTTAGGTTTGCCACCTGACTGGTATTTTACCAGTATTTGAGGCTGCCTGGCCGTGCCGGTATTGCATTAATACCGGCAATCCAAATGCAGGTATGTTTCTCAGTATAAACGGAGATTACTCTGTAATACCAGCACTAACCAGTAGGGGTCACTGTGTGTGGAGAGAGGCAGGGATAGGAAGTTACAGCATATCCCTCCCTGCCTCTCTCTACACACTGATCCGCAAGGGAGCAGCTACACAGCACAGAGAGTCCAGACAGCAGATCCCAGCCTACAGAGACAGCCTACAGCTCAGGTAAGTGGGGGAAAGGCAACAGGGAGACATGGGGACACTGAGACACTAGGGGACACTGTGAGATAGGGGATGCTGAGACACATGGGGACATTGGGAGACACACTGAGACACAGAGACACATGGGACACAGTGTCCCCATGCCTCCAAGCCAATGTCCCTAGTGTCTCAGTGTCCCCATGTCTCCCAGTGTCCCCAAATGTCTGTGTCCCCATGTCTCCCAGTGTCCACATGTCTCCCAGCCAGTCCCCCTAGTGTCTCAGTGTCCCCATGTCTCCCAGTGTCCCCAAATGTCTTTGTCCCCATGTCTCCCAGTGTCCCAGCCAGTCACCATAGTGTCTCAGTGTCCCCATGTCTCCCTGTGTCCCCATGTCTCCCAGTGTCTGTGTCCCATGTCTCAGTGTCTCTAGTGTCCCCAAATGTCCCCATGTCTCACAGTGTCCCCAAGTGTCTCCATGCCTGTGTCTCCATGCCTCCCAGACAGTGTCCCTAGTGTCTCAGTATCCCCATGTATCTCAGTGTCCCTAGTGTCCCCATGTCTTCCAGTGTCTGTGTCTCTGTGTACCTAGTGTCTGTGTCCCCATTTCTCCCAGTGTCCCCATTGACTTCCTGCTTCACTGGACACTGCTGTTAGGGGGTATGGATTTACTTGAAAGATTAAGAATGGTCAAGGGAGCCAGAAATATACAATACCATTTAACAAGCTAAGTCAGGGAAGCCAGGAATCAGAATAGTCAGGAATAGCCAAGTGTAATGATATTGATGTTACAAAGTTTTGGAGTCCAGTAGCCAGATCAGCAATGTTTTCTGCCAGAGGTAGCCACTCGTTACCCAGGTGGTTGAGCCCCTGAGCCTTGAGTGGCCTTCTGGTCTTAAGCAGAGATGGGAGACTGGAACAGAAAGATGATAATCGTAGTGAGGCAAGCCGAGGTCAGTGGGAAGGAGAAGCAGCAAAGTCAAAACAGTCCAAATTCAGCAACAGGAAGGAGAAACAGGAACACGCTTGATTAGAGAGTACAGGAACCACAATAATCTGGCAAAGGTACAGAGACAGGAAGTGGCTTTTATAGGCCAAGAACCAGACACCTGACCAGACACAGCTGAAGTGAGTTGTCACTGATAACCTTGACTCTACAAGCAATAGTATCAGATCTCAGGTAAATTTGCAAAAGGCAGGCTGGTGTACTGGTAAGGAAAAGGTTTAGCACCATGTAAACCAGGGTTCGAAACCCAGCAGAGTCAGTTCCTCACATTACCTCCACCTCTACAGGCGCAGCCTCTGGATGCCCTATTTCCTGGTTTAGCAGGGTACTGTGCATGGAAAGAATGAAGAAGATCAGGAGCATGAATATTGTCCACTGGTTCCCATGATCTATCCTCCTCACCATAGCCTTTCCAATGAACCAAGTATTGAAGCTTGTTGCGGAAGATCCTGGAGTCAAGAATTTTTTCCACCTCGTATTCATCTTCACCATCCACGAGGACTGGTGGTGGGGCAGGCAAGGCTCGACCAGGGAAAGTATTTTCATGAAAAGGTTTAAGCAGTGCCACGTGAAACACCGGATGTATTTTCATGGAATCCGGAAGTTGCAGACGGAAGGTGACTGCATTGATCTGAGCGATTATCTTAAAAGGTCCCATGAACTTTTGACCCAATTTATGAGAAGGAATCCTAAGCTTAAGATTCTTTGTTGACAGCCAAACCTTGTCACCAACATGATAAACTGGGGCCTCCTTTCTGTGCCTATCAGCAGCTCTTTTGTAACATTCCTGAGCCTCCGAAAGAGTCTCCTTCAACAGTTCTTGGGAATCTCGTAAGGCGGTTAGCCGGTCAGTGACTGCAGGAATGGGAGTAGTAATTGGGAGACTCACTAGAAAGGTTGGATGGTAACCATAATTGGCAAAAAATGGGCTCAGAGAAGTGGAGCAGTGTTGGGCATTGTTATAGGCAAACTCCGCCGTGGGTAGAAAATCCAGCCAGTCATCCTGCAGGTAACTAATATAGCACCGCAAATATTGTTCTAAAGTCTGGTTGGTTCGCTCAGTCTGTCCATTACTTTGTGGATGAAAAGCTGAAGACAGATTTACATTAATACCTAGAATAGAACAAAAATATTTCCAAAAATGAGATGTAAACTGCACTCCCCTGTCAGAAATTACTTCATCAGGCACTCCATGCAAGCGAAATATTTCCCGAATAACAAGGTCAGCAGTCTGTTTAGCTGAAGGGAGACCACGAGCTGGTATGAAATGACTCATCTTGGTTAACCGGTCCACAACAACAAGAATAGTAGTGTGTTCCTTAGAGGGAGGTAGTTCCACAATAAAGTCCATGGATATAGATCCCCAGGGACGATGAGGAATCGGAAGAGGCTGAAGCAAGCCAACAGGGGATGAGCGAGGAGTCTTATGTCTGGCACATACATCACAAGAGGACACATACTTCTTAACATCCTCATAATATTTAGGCCACCAAAAGGATCGGGTAAGTAGTTCTTGTGTCTTTCGGATTCCTGGATGACCTGCTGGTTTAGAGTCATGGTAGAGGCGTAAAACGTCCAGTCGCACTGATTCTGGAACAAACAGACGTTGTTGAAAAATCCAAAACCCATTAAGCATGGTCATATGAAGATCACGAGGAGGATCACGAAAAACTGGATCTTTAGAGTAGCCCTTTTTAATGCGAGACATTAGATCAGAAGGAAAGGTAACTCCTAAAAATCTGCTCTCCGGCAAGATGGTGGCCTTGGTTACTGTAGTATGGAGGGGGTCAGCTATCCTAGACAAGGCATCCGCCTTGCCATTTCTGGAACCAGGGCGGTATGAAATAAAAAAATTAAACCTTGAGAAAAATAGGGACCAGCGTGCTTGTCTGGCTGACAGTCTCTTAGCGGATTGGATACATTCCAGATTTTTGTGATCTGTGAGGACAGTAATTGGATGGGTGGCTCCCTCCAAGAGATGTCTCCATTCGGTGAAGGCAGCTTTTATAGCCAAAAGTTCTTTATTCCCTATGTCATAATTTCTTTCTGCTGGTAACATCTGGCGGGAATAGAAGGCACATGGATGTAACAACATCTTAGGTCCAGTCCTTTGAGACAGTATAGCCCCAACAGCTGAATCAGAAGCATCTACCTCTACAGTAAATGGCAATTCTGGCTGAGGATGTACCAAGATAGGGGCAGATGTAAACAGAGTCTTTAATCTGGAAAATGCAGTGTCAGCCTTATTGGACCACTGAAAAGGAGTCCCTTTACGTGTAAGTTCAGTGATCGGTGTAATAACGGCAGAGAAATTCTTAATGAAACGCCTGTAAAAATTGGCAAACCCCACAAATCTCTGTATATCTTTTTCATTCTTGGGGATGGGCCAGTCCAGCACAGCTTTAATTTTACTTGCGTCCATACTTAAACCTTTAGGAGTTATTACATACCCCAGGAACTGAATTTCTGTTTGTTCAAACTCACATTTTTCCAGTTTAATGTATAGGTGGTGGGTACGAAGGCGCTCAAGAACAATGCAGACCTGTTTTCTGTGATTTTCAAGATTATCAGAAAATATCAGGATATCATCCAAATATGCCACAACAAACTGATCCAGGAGATCCCGTAGTACATCATTGATTAGATGCTGAAAAGTTGCAGGGGCATTACAAAGCCCAAATGGCATTACTAGATATTCGTAATGTCCGTACCTGGTTCTGAAAGCTGTTTTCCATTCATCATTTGGTCTTATGCGAACCAGATTATATGCCCCCCGTAGATCAAGCTTCGTAAATATTTTAGCTGAACGAAGTCTCTCCAGAAGTTCAGGAATGAGAGGCAAGGGATAACGGTTTTTAACAGTGATTTTATTAATGTCCCTGTAATCGACACATGGCCGTAGACTGCCATCTTTCTTTTCTACAAAGAATATAGGAGCTCCTGCTGGAGAAGTGGATGGTCGAATAAAGCCTTTGGCAAGATTTTCTTGTATGTATTCACGAAGTGCTTTCAATTCAGGCTCAGAAAGGGAGTATATACGGCCAAATGGGATAGCAGCTCCAGGTAGCAGCTCTATGGGGCAATCATAAGGCCTGTGAGGTGGAAGCTGATCAGCATTCTTCTTATCACAGACATCTGCAAAATCCCGATATTGTAGCGGAAGCT